GCCCGCCTGCATGCTGGCAGAGTGCTGGGGGAAGGCAGAGACCTGTGAGTTTCTGTAAGTAGAGTCTGAGGGGAAGAGAATCCACCCTCAAGATCTGGGACAAGGATGAAACGAGTAAGTTGAGATTAGCCCCCAGCTTTGGGCTTCTAACCACAACTGTTTTTTCTTCCCAATCCAAAGCATGGTTAATATTGTGAATCCCTAGGAGATGGGCTCTCTCTGAGGATCGCAGAGATTGGGCTGTTACAACAGGGCCCGGGACACGGCGGAGCCCCTAGGGCTGCTCACTTGCCCCTAGAGCACCCCAGTCTGCGTGTACCCTGCCCCGCCTCACCCGGCAGGCAACACAGAACTCCAGCCCCATCTCAGACCTGCCCCTCAGAATCTGCACTTTAAAACTGGTCCCAGGTGACTCATTTGCATATTAAAACAGGAGAAGCCCTCTTTGGAGAGACAGACGTGCTGTACCCAGCACCCCGCGTAAGGACAGAGGGCTCGTTCCCTTCCGTAGGTAACTTGCCTCTGTTAACTGACGGCTGGTACGAACAACTCGCAGAACTTCAGAAGGGGCCGCAGCCATGTGAAGTGTGGGAATGGGGGAAGGAAGATGCCAAAATAGCCTCCCGCCTCGCACCCCCCAGCACGTACGCCCCAGGAGACGTTTTGCAAAGTGAAATGCCTGAGTACTGCCGGCATCTGAGAAACCCAGTGCTGCAGTTCAGAGTTCAGAGTCAGGGCCCCCGCAAAAACCTTCCCACTCAGACTTCCTAGGGGTGGAAGGCAGGGGCTGCATGTTAGCAAGCTCCCCTCGCGACACTCACGCACGCTAAATTTAAGGACAGTTCTTCTCTTTCCTTGACTGGTATTGGATGCCTGCCGCAGATGTCTCCTCCTCGGGAACAGAAGAGAATCCTGGCACTTCTGGACCCAAGGTACCTTGGAGGTAAGGCCAGCCTGACCTTGTGTCCCTTCATCTCCTCCTGCCCCTGGCAGGGGAGCGTTCACGGAAGAGGCGCAGGCACTGGACATCGAGGGCACCCCGGGGCACGAGCCTCCCGCGGTCCGGCCCAGGGCGGCTCCCGCAGCAGGAGCTGAGATGCCTTTGCACGTACGTCACCACCCTTTTGCTGTTTGTTTTAAAAAAAGAACAGCGACGGGAAATGATGGGTCATTGTGGTGGTGGCGGGGCTTCAGTGGGGGTGACAATGACACCTATACTCAGTCTAAAAGAAATGTGTCTTCCTGTCAACCACAGGGGAACTAAAAGGAAATACCAACATTTCTTTGGCTGGGCTAGCATCTCACTGTTGCGCCAGTCAGGTACATTAGTATGTGAAAATATTTCTATGCCGGAGCATAACCTCCATAGACTTCTACAAGTCCTCATTCCATACCTTAAAAAAAATAAAGTGTCTCTGTGCTTGGGTGTGGTTTGGGGTGACTTGCGAATATTTGCTCGTTTCTGGGTAAACGTGCCAGTTATCCCAGGTTTGGAGAGGCGCGTGGATCCGGGAACTACATCAACTGGACTCAGCGCAATAACTGCCCACGGAGTCACGCGTCACAGGGAAGAAGCACATAACCTAATATGGGACAGCCTGGGCCCAGAGAACTGTTGCAGACTGCAACACTCTGGGACGCTCAAGTGGGGACACAGACGTCGTTGTGGCTGCACACCTGGGATCCAGGAGCCCTGGCTTCTAAGTCCAGCCAGCCAGTGACCTGGCGGCTCGGAACGAGTGGGGAAGTCCTGGCCATATCACACCTATAATTAAAGGGGTAGACAGGCTCTTCTCCCAGGCCTCCTGTGGGTCCAAGATTCCAGATGCAAACAAGTTTTCAAATTCGAGTTGGTAATTGTCACACTGAGTTGGGCTGGCGGGGAAAGAACATCTGAAACCACAGACACGGAAAAGAAACTGGGCAGGGCTGAAAGCTGCATTCTTGTAGAGCAAGTATTTAACCTTCTCTGAAGGTTAAATCTGAAACACGCATGGCCGGGAGCCGCACTTCCGGAAGTTATTCCCCGGAGCAGATCGAAAAGGGCGGTGGGGCGGCAGCCTGCCGGGCCTCCCATGTCCTCCTTCAGCCCAGCCCACCCGCGCCAGGTACACTGACCGCTGCGAACCGGGACCAGAAAGCGCCCTGGCGGCAACTCCAGGGGGGCGCGCATGCAGGTAAGAGGTGAGGAGTGTAGGACTGGAGGGGGAAAAAAATCACAGCTCACATTGCCATTGATTAATTGAGTGATTTTAGTCAAGTGAATATTGATACACGGCAGCAAAAGCATGAAAATAAAGTGAACACGTACAGGAATTCCCATTAACATAAGTGATAACATCAAAACATCTGGTAAAATGCATTTAAAAAACACACAAATGGAATGTAAAACATTTTCACAGTATTCCAAGCTTGTGTAAAAGATTTAGACTGGAAATGAGGAGTCCTACATGAAGGAACTAGGGGAAGAGGAATGTCGTCTGGGTCCTGGTATCTGCCGGTGGCAGGTGTGGACAGGCCAGCGCGGGTCTGGGGGAAGCCGCCGAGGTGCTCTCCGGAAACAGCCCACCCGGGCCCAGCACATGGGTGACGCTGCAGCAGAGCGACGAGTGCCTGGAGTCCGGGAGAAGAGCAGGTTTCCGGTCTGGGAGGTGGGGCTGCTGCGCCTTACAGACGCCCACGGAGACAGGCGCCGCCTGGGTTCCACCGCGAGGAGCGCGGGCGCTAATCCACGGGCGTTGGGAGCCAAGTGTTACACAGGGTACTTTAAAAATAGATTGCTCTTGGAATTCTCACTTAGCATGCTATCTTCCAAGATAACTACGAATATGCCTCAGAGACTTAGCTGGGCTCTGCCAATGGACTCACAGGACTCTGTCAGAGCGATTGTTTTAAAGCTTTACCAACCTGACCTTTGCACCAGCAACGATCACCAAATCAGACACAGATCTCCTCTCTTGGAAACCAATGACCAGTCCAAGGAGCGTGCACATTGGCTTTGTTATATCATTTTGTTGATAAAAACAGAAGTTGAGATAATGCAGCTCTGGGCCCCCAGATAGCAGCCCTTTTGGTCCCGAAACTGCTCAGCGGATGTAGACAGAGCTGGCAAGTGTCCAAAACCGCTAAAGTCCACGGCGAGGCTCCCAGTCCAGGGACTCCGAGGCTGCGCGACACCCGCAGCGGCAGCTCACATTTCCCACTCGCTTCGAACCCTCGGAGATGTGGCTTCCTACCTGCGAATTCCCAGCCGGAGGGCTGCACAGCACGGCCACCCTTCCTCCACACTCTGGTAACTCCTGATGCCCAGGCAAGCCCCTGTGCCCAGGCCCCTCCTTGCAGAGAAGCCCGGTCACCCGAGGCGCTTCGTCAGAACGAGCAGACAGCGCAAGCGCTGAACTTGTGAGTTAATCAACCAAAACGAAGACCCAGATCCACGCACTCATGAAGTTACTCTGAATTTCAGTTTGACAACAGGAAAGCAGAATATTTCTAATCAGCTAATATACATACACGTTCCTTAATCATCCAAAATTACAGGCAAATTACTGAAGGTCCCCAACACTTTACGATTAAAGGCCAGAGAGAATCCCCCCCTCAAAAAGAGGTGTTAAGATGATGAGATCACTAACTGTGAAAGGCTAATTACATCAGGGTAACTGTCAGGTAGGTGACTAGGTTGGCGTGCCGACATTCCACGTTTCTGCGTCAGGCTAGGCCGTGGGCAGGGGCACCTCGCAGCCCCGCGGCAGCGTCCGGAACTGGGCATGAACACTCGCCCAGAGAGGCAATCACCAAGGCCCCGGAGGCGTTACAGAGAATCACGGATCCGGCTTTGGGAGAAGAAATTATCATTCATTTTTTACAATTACTTCCCATACATTGGACAAGAAAAGTAAAGTTGTCTGCGTGAACTGGTTTACATACACCCCTCATCAAACACCAGGGCTTTCAGAAATATCTTAGGGCACTTGGGGAAAACTGCAGAGATGTTTTGCTTTTGAAACTCTCTCCCTGGATGGAAACAACTTTCCCTCTGCAGAAATGAAAAAAAAACATGTAAAAAGTGCAGGGGACAGGCAGGCAGGCGGATCTGCAGGAAATCAAGTTGAAAGGGCTCCATTTCTTCGCGGGGGAGCGGGTGGGTTTCGTCGGCGCTGTGCTGGCTTCCAGGCCAAGCAAGACCGGTCGGAAGGAGGACCACAGGCTGCGCTGCCAGGAACTCACCTCCCACCTGCGCTTCCCGACAGCAGCCTCCAGCGGACCAAGAGACCTTGCCTTAGCACACCTTTCAAATGCTCCATGTTGACTTTTTTTAAAAAAAACCTTGAAAAGTGGTTTGTGTTTTATTGTTGATATCTTTAAAAAATGTGACTTGAACGAACAGATGAAATGAGAATGGTAATCCCTTCACCCAGTTTCACAATTCGCCCTGACTAGTGATTTCCTGGACTGTTCTAAAGTGTTTTTTCCCCCTCTTTAACTACGTTTTCAAAAACCACTAACCATTGCCTTTTCAGTCTGCAAATCATGGTCTTGCTCAGGCCCAGTGTTTTCCTTTCCTCACACAGAGGCAGGCACGCGCCACCCCCCACGTGTCTGGGGGCCCCGGGGCCGACGGGCCCTGCCACTTCTGTGGCGTCTGACACTGGCTGATTCCCATCCAGAGACAATCGCGTGGAAGGGCGGAGGGCAGAGCCGGCGGAGACCTCTCTGCTAGTCCCTTGGCAGGCGCCATGAGATTCTGTACTTGGCACTTTCCTTCCCTGTACCTGTTACCTCCTGGAATTAATCTTAAAGCGTAAGTGTGGTGTGTGTCTGTTTCTGTCTAAAGCAGGCGAGAAGTCACTCTGGAACGGAAGGCAACGGGACTTACCAACAGTTAGAACTGGCCAGTTGCAAAGGCATAGATCAGCGATAGACCCATCCACAGCTGCAAAGCTTAGTTTTTGCCGCTGGCTCTCATCTTTTGCCAGCTGCCCTCCTTGCGCGTGTGTGGGCACTGGCAAACAGGGTTTAGTTTCTTAGTGACTGCACCTCTGGTGGAGACGGTCTGGCACCTCCTTCTGCGCAGCGGCTGCGGCTCCGCGCTGAGACCTCAAAGCCTTCCTAACCTAAGTGGCCCTCGCCTCCCCTGGACGCGGCTGCCCTGGGGCTGGAGCGTGGCTGTGGAGGGGAGGGGGTGAGCAGGCGGCAAGGACAAAGCCGGCGGGACCGCAAGGTCCACTGCCACAGAGCGATGTGTGCTTGCGTGTGCCACCGCTGCGGTCCAGGTCATGGCTCTCCCCCCACCCCCAGCTCCCTCCCCAACCCGCCCCTGGGCCATCACTTAAAGACCGACTGAAAAGTGGGGCATTCGTGGTTCTTCATCTTCTTCATGAAGTTTCTGAACTCCTGGTTTCTCTTGTCCCACCTGTGGATGGCCGTCAGCAGGTACTGGCTCTTCACCTTCCGGCCCAGGATGAGGAAGTGGTGGCTGAGGTTGTCCAGCTGGTGGCAGGGGCAGTCGGCCCCGTTCTTCAGGTACAGGACGAGCTTCTTCAGCTCCTTCTTCTTGATGGGCCCCAACTTCAGCGGCTTCTTCTTCTTGGGGACAATCTTTTTGTCACCATTTTCTTTCTTCACTTCTTTTATTTTCATCCTCAGTGCTAGAGACGGTGGAGCAGAAAAGGAGAGAAAGAGGGAAAAGGGGAGAGAAAGCATTTTAGAACACAGTTTTGCATCTGAAACAATAAACCGCACACAGAGGAACACGAGAAGCAAACAGCAAGCAAAAGGAGGCGGTTTTATTGATCCAAACCGAGGTCTCCGTTGCTCGCTCTGCTACCGACTCAGGCCCCAGTTTTATGTGGTCTAATCTCAGTAATTGCCACTGAGCGCCGTAAGATCCTCAAATAAATTTTCAAAACCAAATTGTATTTCTCTTTTAAAATTCAGAGACTCAGAATATCCTGTGCTGCCTAAGAGATCATATAATCCAATTCAATCCATATAATCAAATGCTATAGATCTTGGCATTCAAAGGAAAAAAAACCGAGGTTGTTTTTAAAGAGAAAGTTATTGGCTTAGCTTTTTAACATCCAAAGACGTAAAATCCTAAAAGTTGGGTCCCATAAACGAGACAGCCAGAATCTACAAGTGCGCACCCAGCTAGGGAAAGTTACAGAGTATTTCAAATTGTCATGGTTGGGTGCATTAGACACCAAGGCCCAACTTCCGCACGGGAAGAACCAGCGCTGGCGACTGCGCCTCCGCGGTGGCTGCACAGCAGACCCTGCTGACGCTCTGCCAGCCACCGATCCACCACTACACCCCGCAACAGGCACCGCCGGCGACAGGCTGCCCAGAGCCAAAATCTGCTCTGACTTCCTGACAGCTTCTCGCAAGTCCTGGTGACGTCCTAATACAGCGGGTAAGTCCAGGTGATGCTCTCTCGTCAAATCTAACACGGCCCACAGGCTGCTTCCGTTCCCCACACAGCCCCAGCAAGAGGGGTGCCAGCCCGTCCACCGAGTCTGCCGTCCTGTTCCCGTCTCTACACACCTTGCATTAACACTATTATTAACCCACGGACCAGATCCTGCAGTGACGGCTCCGCAGGGTCTGCTGAGGAAGACAAACCAGCCGGGAGACGCTCCACAAACTGCCCGCACACCAGACCCTCGGTGTCACTGGGTCAGGCAGCTCCCCTCTGAGGCTGGCCAGCCCCAGCTATTGCAAAAGGAGTCAGAAGTCGCTTTCTAGAATCTGCACATCCTCTGAGGTCTCCTGAATTCAGAATTACCACCTCCCTCTTTTTAATAGCACCCGGCTCCTACCCACACTCCAAGAGGAACATCTTGAACCCGAACCGAGTAACAATTACGAAAGCATGTGACCTGCCAGGACACGTGCTGAGGATGCTTCACGCGTTTCCTCAATTAATCCTAACGACTCCGGGAGGAAGGCACAGTATCCTCCCCATCTAACAAAGGAGGCAACTGAGGCTTGCAGAGGGAAGTCGACTGCCCACAGTCACTAATCCTAAGGTGAAACCCACATCTGACTGTGCTCTTTTAATCACCATGCTGTCCGCGCTGACGCTATGGTCCCAAAATTCTTCAGAAGGAACCCAAAACTTGCAAGTACTGATTAAATGGACCAGGATTTACACTTACCGAGGAGCCCAGACCCTCTCCCCAGACTCGCCACATTTCCAAATGACTTTACTTACGAAATGGGGAGAGTCCCTCCTGGCTGACAGACACTGCCCTGGCCAGGGAAAACCTGCATTTGTGGAGGCTTCATTAGGTAATATTTAGTTGATTAGCAAAGCACACCCCTGGCTAACCCAACAATAAAGAGGAAGGGAAAAAACTCCTGGGAGCAAGACTTTAATGAGTGTGTCAGAGTCAGTAAATTAGACACTCTCCCTCTGCTTTCTTTGTCTTACAAAAAGAGTTCCAGAGCCTGACCCCACAGGAGATCCTAGGCCTGAGAACACCTCACCCCAAGGGTGGAAGAAGGGGCAGGAGCTGGCACCAGTGAGCAGAATGTGCCGGCTGGGGACTCACAGGGACCGCCCAGGCTGCCTGGCACCCATGGGAATAGGTTGGGCGCAGCCTCCCGTTGCACTCCCTTGCCCCCACCCAGACCAGCCGCTGCCCAGGGCTCCTGGACACGTTGACGCCCTCCCCACTGTGCACAGAGCACAGCTGGGACCAGCAGGTGGAGGCACAGCAGACAGGAAGCAGCAGAGACCACCCCTGCCTGGCCTCACCCCGACATAGGCCCATACCTGGTCCAGCATCCACTCCTGGCTTACAAACCTTGTCCCTGGGGGTGCACTGGAGCAAAGACCCCACGTCTTCTAGTCTGTGGCTCACTGAATGAGAAAAGTTCTCAGCGGGGTTGGGTAAGGGACCAGCAAGAGGAATCTCACTGCCCAGGCGAGGCGAGTCTCTGCCTCCCCTCTGCAGAGCAGTGGCAGTGCTAGAAACCACTTCGCAAAGCAAGGCAGAGCCCTGCATGGCAGCAGGCAGGAGGGACATTTCTGCTCCCTCACAAGACCCCTCCAAGACGTGGCTCCAGGTCCGGAGATAAGCCCAGCTCCTTCACAAGGTCTAAGGCCCGACACCAAGCACTGCCAGAGCAGCGACTAAAAAGAGTTCCAGGAGAGGGTGACGCACGCCCCAGCTGACGCGGTGGGCACCCTCTTGTTGGCAGAAGCCACCGCTAACTGCATACCCACCACGCGCTGGGCCTGCAGATGACCACAGGGTGAGTGAGTCATGACCCCTTGTGTAACACTCACAGAGACCATGTGAAGACGCCACTGCTATTATTTAATTACAATCTATTTCAGTCGAGGAGAAGGACTCAGGTCAAGTAACGACAGCACAGAGCCGGTTTGTGGGACCCAGAATCAGGACCAGAACCCACACCAGCCCCAAAGACAGTGCTCCCTCCTGCCACACGGTTGAAAATGATATTGCTTCAGTGGAAACTATTTCACTCTTCTGATTGTGTTGCTTTTAATCACAATTCAAATCAAAAATTAATGTTCCTTTGCCATGACCGTGTAAAGGAATTTGGTTTTCGGGGTGGGGGGCGGACGCGAGGGAGAGGAGAAAGCGGCCGATGGCAATGTGTTATGCATTAGACCCTGCTTCTTGCCATTTGGCTCACTTTCGTTTCTGAGGTGGGGAGAGCAGGGAAGAAGGCACATATGGCCAGAAATTACTAACATCTTTGCGTCTTTCAAGGGTTCGTTTCAGGGATGCAGATTACCGACAACGTTTGTACAGGCGATTAGCTGTCCCAGGTTGATTTCCCGGTGCCTTGTGGAGTGCGTGCTAGGGCAGGGGTGAAGCGGTGGGTGCTGGCCTAGGAGCAGCCTGGGACTGATCCCCCACACCCCACCTCCAACCTCCATGCTACCCCACCCAGGGGCTGAGTTTGCCATGCAAATGGTGGGGGTGGGCAGGGAGGAGAAGCCCCAGGAGGCAGCAGTTGGGGTGCCGGCAGCCTCTGGGTCCCCTATCTGTAGTGGAGAGCGTGTCTGGCTGCCAGCCTGGCAGAATCACCCCGCTGGGGGCCCAGGCCAGGCAGTACTGGGGAGACACAGGTTCACGTCCAGCCCCACCCTGCACGCTGTGCCCTCTGCACCCTGGAGGGCACGGTCACAGCTAAACCACCACCTCAGGCCCTCGATCTCAGCTCCTCACAACAGCTGGACCCTGAACTAAAGCAAAATAAAAAGCAAAAACAAAAATTCTTTCTTTATATATATATATTTTTTTAGGAACCATTTAACACCGATCCGGGGTGGGATGTTACTGCCCACCTAGGCACCACCAGCAAGAGTTCAGAGACCCAGAAACGCTGAAACCCAGACTCGAGGCTGCAATTAGGGGTTGTCTGGGTCCTTCTCAGTAATGTTAAAATAAATAATCCCTTACACTTGAGTAAACCATTAAAATTTCATTCCACTTTCAACCACCCAAACCGTGCTTTCGCTCACAAATCAGACTTCCTTAATAGGCTCCCCACGAAGCCTGGCCGCGTTTCCGAGGCTGAGCAGAGAGTCAGAAAGCCAGGACACCCATCTCCAGTCCTCGCCCTCTGCAAAGCCATCTCTGCCTGCTGACTCCCCGCCGCTAGACAGGGCCTGCGTGCGCGGCAGCCACGGGCCAGGGCCACTCATGTCCACCACCACCCACGTAGGATTGCTGTAGGAATCTAAGAAGGATCTGCCGGGACGGGGAATGGGCTGAGTTCGGAATCAACTTGTAACTCGCCTGATCACAGATGACAGCTACAGTGAAGTTGGTGAGGGACAGACAAAAGAAGAGAAGGAGGGACCGGGAGCACCTTCACCGGGACGCAAGGAAGAAGAAGAGTCATTGTAAAAGCCATCAGAGGTACCACCGGGAACCCGGCAGCCGGTGTCATGACAACCACAGGAGGAAGGCGTTCCAAGTGGAGGAGACGCCCCTCAACCCCAAATGCCGAAGAGTTTACAAAAGAGTCTGAAACTGGAGCGCCCGGCTTGGGGACTAGGGGGCTGTGAAGACCAGATCGGAGGCGGCAAGGGCGGGTTCCAGAGAGCTGGAACCAGCGGAGGGAAACAGAGGGAAGCCACACAGACATCCCCAAGCTTCTGTGCTGTTTCCCAAGAGTCACCACCAGGACTTCTAGCCACACGTACTGGACGGAGCACACACAATCGTTTCCACTCCTTCCTGAAGTCAGTTTAAAATTATAGTTTAAAAAAAGTTATAAACACATGCAGGAAAGTGGTAAAGACAACAGGAACATACCAACAGCATTTCGTATAATAGGAAGCAAATGGACGGAGGAACCTGGCTTGAAAGGGAGGGAAGGAAAAGGCTGAAACACAGCTGCTGACAGACAGGGGGCGCCAGAAAAAACGAGCCGACCCAGCAGGACCCAGAAACGCTCCTGAACCGGGGCCCTAGGAGCTCCTGGCGGCATCAGCGTGGGGACTGGTATAAAGTCTGTGTGGGACACTCAGCCCCGCTCCTCTGGGCCGCGACTCCAGGGGACCTCGCCCACGCTAGCAGCAGTCAAAGGGTGTATTCTACACAGCCAGTTCGAACCAGCCTGCGGGCTGAGGTGCACCAGACGCCCAGGAAGACAGCGTGCT